TGAATGACAAGTGCTGGCGAGGATGTGGAGAAAAGGGCACCGTAGTACCCTGCTGGTGGGAATGCAGACTGGTGCTGTCCATAGAAAGCAGTATGGAAGTTCCTCAAAAAGTTAAAAATGGAACTGCCATTTGACCCAGTGATCCCACTTCTAGAAATATATCTTGAGAAACCTGAAACACCAATCACAAAGAACTTATGCATGCCTATGTTCATAGCAGTGCAATTTACAATAGCTAAGATCTGGAAACAGCCCAATTGGCCATCAGTAGGTGAGTGGATAAAAGAACTGTGGTACATTTACACCATGGAATACTATGCAGCTTTGAAAAAGGACCTCTCTTTTTTTGGGACAGTATGGAGGGACTAGAGAGTATTATGCTAAATGAAAGAAGCCAGTCAGAGGAAGACAAGTATCACATGATCTCACTTTTTTGTGGAATCTAATGAAAAAAAACTGACAAGTAGATCCAGAGACATGGAAGCATGCAACAGATTGAGGAATCTCAGAGGAGGATGGGTGGGAAGAGATTAACTGAAGAACTATATGCATATATGCATAACCTATGTACACAGACAATAGTGCAGTGGAGGCCTGGAAGCTGGGGGTGGGTGCAGTGTGGAGGGGATCAATGGGGGCAAAGAGGACACCTGTAATACTCTCAACAATAAAGATAAATTCAAAACACACGCAAAAACGAAACAAAGGATAAAAATTGTATGGTAGTGTCGATGCAGAAAAAGCTTTTGATAAGATATAACATCCATTTATGATTAAAACACTTACTGAAATGGGTATAGAAGGAAAGAGCCTCAGCATATTTAAGACAATATATGACAAACCCTCAGGTAATATTACTACCAGTGTTGAAAAACTGAAAGCTTTCCCTCTGAGATTAGGAGCAAGACAAGCATGCCCAGTCGCACCATTTTTATTCAGCATAGTACTGGAACTCCTAGGTAGTGCAACCAGGGAAGAGAAGGATATAAAAGACATCTGAATTGTGAATGAAGAAGTAAAATGTCACTTTTTGTCGATTACATGATTCTTTCTATGGAAAACACTGACTCCAGCAAAAAACTATTAGAAATAATAAATACAGTAAAGCTGTAGGATACAAAATCAATATACAAAAATCCCACTGCATTTTTATATACTAACAATGAAGTTTAAGAGAAAGGAATGAAAACAATTCATTTTGCAATTGTAACAAAAAGATTAAAATACCTAGGAATAAACTTAGCAAACGATGTGGAGGACCTATATACTGAATACTACAAAGCATTATTAAGAGATTGAAAAAGACACAGTGAAATCGACATACATTCTGTGGTTATGGATTGGAAGACTCAACATAGTTAAAATGACCATATCACCCCCAAAATATACAGGTTTAATGCAATCCCCATCAAAATCCCGATGACTTTTTAAAAAAGAAATGGAACTAAGAAAGTCATCAGATTTATATGGAATCATAAAAGACCCCAAATAGCCAAAGCAATCCCGAGAAAAAAGGAGTGAAGGCAGAGGTGTTACACTACTGGACTTCAAATTATACTACAGAGCTACTATAATCAAAACAGCATGGTATTGGCAAAAAATACACACACAGACAATGGATCAGAATTGAGAGCCCAGAAGTGAGCCCACATGTATATGGGCAAATAATTTTAATAAAGGTGCTAAAAACATACAATGGAGAAAAGAAAGTCTCTTCAAAAATGGTGCTGGAAAACTGCAAACCCACATGAAAAAGAATGAAACTAAATTATAATTTGTTGCAGTGTTCAAAAATTAATTCAAAATGCATCAAAGATCTAAATATTAGATCTGAAACAATAACAGAAGAAAACACAGGTACTGAACTTATGGACCTTGGTCTTAGAGATCATTTTATGAATTTTACCCCAAAGGTAAGTGAAGTAAAGGCAAAAATAAATGAATGGAACTATATCAAACCAAAAAGCTTCTACACAGCAAAAGAAACCGAAAACAAAAAGCAACCAACCAAATGGGAGGTTATATGTGCAAACAACAGCTATGATGGGTTAATATCCAAAATACATAAAAAACTCACAACCAAACACCAAAAAAACCCAAACAATCCAATTAAAAAATGGGCAGAGGACCTGAACAGACACTTCTTCCAAGAAGACATACAAATGACCAACAGATACATGAAAAGATGCTCAATTTCAGTAGCTATTAGGAAAATGCAAATCAAAACTACAATGAGATATCACCTCACACTGTTAGAATGGTTATTATCAACAAGACAAGTAGTAGCAAGTGTTGGAGAGGTTGTGGAGAAAAGGGAACCCTCATTCATTGCTGGTGGGAATGTAAACGGGTACAGCCTCTATGGAAAACAGTATGGAGATTTTTCAGAAAATTAAGAATAACGTTATATGACCCAGCAATCCCTTTTCTGGGTATCTATCTGAAAAATTTGAGAACATTTTTTTGCAAAGAGATATGCACCCTTATGTTCATTGCAGCATTATTCACTGTGGCCAAGACATGGAGATAGCCAAAGTGTCCTTTGATAGATGATTGGATAAAGAAAAAGTGGTACATATATACCATGGAATATTACTCAGGCACAAGAAAAGATGAACTACTGCCATTAGTGACAACATGGATGGACCTTGAGAATATCATGCTAAACAAAAGATGTCAGAAAATGTTAAGAAACATGATTTTGCTCATATGTGTGATATAAAACTGAAAGTAGCAAATGAGCAAACAAGAAAAACCAATAAAGAAAAACTCATAGACACAGACATCAGTATGGTGGTTACCAGATGGAAGGAGGGTAGGGATATTAAAGGTTAAAGCGGGTCAAGTATAAGGTAACGTTACATGATTTGACTTTGGCTGTTGGGCATACAATGCAATATATAGATCCTGTATCATGAAAGTGTGCGCTTGAAGCCTATATGATCTTATAACTAATGTCACCCCAATTAATTTAAAAATTAAAAGGAAAAAAAATAACAATATTAAAAAATTATGGAGAAAAGTATTTTCTCTGTGGGGAGGGGGTGTTGTGTCTGTGTAAGGTAACTGTTTTCTCCAGGATCAGCAGTGATTTGTCTTTCCAACTGCTACGGTAATTCTTCACAATACAAACTTAAGTGGGGCACATTTGAATGCTTCTGTCTGAATGAAAATGAAAATTTAGATGGAAGAACCAGTCACAGGCTTCAGGTTTGGAAGAGAAATGAAAGATTGCACTCCCCACATCTCACCCTTCCCACCCCAGCCCCCAACTGTTCAATTCCTTTCTATACTACTTCTTTCAAGGGCTGGCCTAACAATCTCTGCTTGTTTGAGGGACAAATTTCTGCTGCTTGAGCTGGCTATGAGAAAGGTCTTACTTGTTTTGAAATGAAGTGTGTTTCTTTGTAGTTTACACATTAGTTTGATCCTCTCACCCCCAGACCCCAAAGCCAATAAGTCTAATTATGTCTCTTCCACATGACAGCCTTTTAGTTATTTAGAAACAATTATTTTGTTCCCTATAAGATCTCCATTCATTCATTCATTCATTCATTCATTCATTCATTCATTCATTCATTCATTTTTTGAATGACCACTATGCACTGTGCAGGGTGTAATGGAAGCAGTTGAAAATACACAGTGCTCACAGTTGGATGTCATTTTATACACTAAGACTCTGTCTGAAATGTGCATCCAGGAGATTTATTGGGGAGTATCTTTAGAAATAATCACAAGGGTGAACAAAGCAGGGATGGTAAGAAGGAAGAGGTGACCTGCCACACAGTTACATCAGAGGCCTCAGCAGGTCTTAAGGGGAGCTCTAGGGCTGGATGACTGACCCTTCAGAGCTATTTTACCTTGAGGCAAGGCATTAAACCTTTATACTCACTACTTGTCTGGTCAATGAATAGGGATTGGGCCAGCTTTACTTGCTGGGGTAAATTCCTGGAGAGTCTCAGTTGGGCGCTGTCAACCACTAACACTCCCCTCAGCCGGGGATTGGTGTCTGTCGTGCAGGAGTCTGAATAATGCACTCATTCACTGCAAGTGGAGAGACAGCTCTTCTGCACATTAGAATATAATGAGCCAAGTATTTTAATAGCTCTGTGTACAAAGTGTCTGGGAGCATAGACAACACCTAGGCTTGCCTGAGGAGCCAGGACAGGCTTTCCAAAGTTAACCTAAAAACAAAAGGCCAAGAGCCAACAAGTATTTATTTGAGATAAAAGAACAGCTCTTCAGGAAGCTCTGATTCAGGGGGAAACCCAATTAATATTCTGATTAGGGCACAGAGGCAAGGGGTATGTATGAGAAAGGGAAGGGAAGGCAGTTCTATTGGTTCAGATAGGCTAACCTTGTGACACTAATTCTAAACAATGTTTTAAATTTCAATTTGGTAGTCATCAGGCCCTTAGTCATAATATTGTTTTCTTGTTATCTTTGCAAACAATTCTTTGAGATACACTGTTGCTTTAGTCCCAGTCCAAAGGTTATTTTGCCGTTTGAACATTCCAAAGGTTTTAGGCATAAGACCTGCAAGGCAGTTCTGGCATGGCAGCTCTGACTTATTTTAAAGTGGCTCTGTTTATATTATTTGTTTACACAAGGAAGCCAAGGGTATGGATAGCAAGGAGAGTGCTTATGAGCAGCCTTTAGGCAGTAGAATTGGGCCTGGAAAGGAGGTGCAAGGGGACAGGAGTCCTCTGGTTTGCACTCCTTGGTGAGTACTGTGTCATTTGCCAGAATAGAGGACCTTAGTTGGGGGTGGGGGTGGGAGAAAATAGGGCAATCCTCTCTGATGAATTAAGAATGGAGATGGAGGGGACAAGGAGAGTGGGTGTGTAGCCTAGTTCTCATTTCTAGCACTAGAGCTTTGTGAGCCAGTCTTTACATACATTTATCTCCCTCCCAGACTTGACTCCTGGGAAGCAGAACTGGTCATATGAGTGTACTTTTCCCTTCTCTTATCCTTAACTGCCTGTGGTATATTTTCACAGAAGTTCCACCAAGGCTGACTCATGAGAGCTCTTCCTGGAAGTGAGGTCATGCAGTGATGAACAGCAACCAGCCTGGGGAGTGATCACTAATGGGCAAAGTGTTTGGGCTCCTGAGGAAATTTCCCAATCAGTCCTGGTTGAGTCTCAGCATTTCTCGGCAGACCCTATTGAGAAGAAGCAGGAGAACAGCAACATGAAGAAGAAGAGGGAGCAGCTACTAAAACAGTTTGGTGCCTGGGACTGCCCTCAGGGTCATTACCTTCCTCCCATCTTTCTATTTTTGACTGCATAGAAATGTTTTGTTTATCCACTATACTCGGAAGCAGTAGAGCTTTATGGTTAATGACTCCTGATTCCTTGTACGTTCATTTCTGCATCTTTAACTGGGACTAATCATAGTACGGAGTGCATACAGTTGTTGGGAGGAATAAATGAGACAATCTGTGGAAACTGCTTTAGACCAATGCTTGGCATATAGTAGCAGTTAGTATTAATTCCTGTCTTTATTGTTGTACTTGTATGCAAGTATATCTAGAGACAAGTGCTTCTGCTCATTCAATATAGTACATTTGTGATTATCTGTTACTCCATAAAAACAATGGCTTGCTTTTATGTTCTTATTGTCCTATCTCATGTACACCAAAGCCCTTTCCCCGGGGGCTCCTAAGATTAGTGGTCCTTGCTCCCTCTTTTTTTTTAAAATCCAACCCTAAGGATATGCTTTCACTGATTTTGAGAGAGACAAAGGAAGGGGAAGATAAATGATAGATGATAGATAGATAAACACCGATTAGTTGCCTCCCCTGTGCCCTGACTGGGGATCTACCTAGGTATATGCCCTGATGGAATCAAACCCACGACATTTTGGTAAATGGGACAAAGGTCCAACCAAACGAGCCACTCGGCCAGGGCTTTGCTTCCTCTTAAATTACTCACTTTTGTGGGGGCTGTGGAGCCCAAGGCTGGGTTGGGAAAGGAGAGATTGGTTGCAAGTGGGTTAGAGAAGTACTATCTTTTGTTTTTTTCACCTCCTCATAAGTTCCTTTTGGCTTCCAGCCCCAGGAGAGGGGTTTAGATTAGTGGATCTCCCCCAAAACTTTCTTTTGATTTCTCCAAACCCTGGGCAGGGCCTTTCTCCTGGAATCTGAAATTACTCTTAACCCTGAGCCCCATAGATACCAATTCTGACTCAGTCCTGTCAGGAACTCATAATTCTCCCAGGCACACTTTCTATAATGTTTCTCACTTTTCCTTTGCCCCTCAACAATGGCTTGTACTACACATTTAACAATGAGCAATACAACAGCTAAAAGAGAGCAGTAAGAAAAGCCTGGAGANCTGTTGAACCTTCTAACACAACAACTAAAAGAATTAGAATGAGAACAGCAAGAAAAGCCCCGAGAAAGTAGAAGGGAGGAAATAATAAAGATCAGAGCAGAAATTAATGACATAGAGACTAAAAAACAATACAAAAAATCAGCAAAACCAAGAGCTGGTTCTTTGAAAAATTAAATAAGATTGATGCACCTTTAGCCAGACTCACTAAGAAACAGAGAGGACCCAAATAAAATCAGAAATGAAAGAGGCAATATAACAACTGACCCAACAGAAATACAAAGGATCGTAAGAAAATACTATGAGCAACTATATGCCAACAAACTGGATAACATGGATGTAATGGACAAATTCCAAGAAGCATATAATCTTCCAAAGCTGAATCAGGAAGAGGCAGAAAACCTGAATAGGACAATAACAAATAATGAAATTGAAGCAGTAATCAAAAACTCCCAGCAAACAAAAGTCCTGGACCAGACGGATTTACAAGTGAGTTTTACTAAATATTCAAAGAAGAATTAACACCTATTCTACTCAAACTATTCCAAAAAATTCAAGAGGAGGGAAAACTCCTAAACTCTTTTTATGAGACAAGCATCATCCTAATCCCAAAACCAGATAAAGACACTATAGAGAAAGAAAATTACAGGCCAATATCCCTGATGAACATAGATGTGAAAATCCTCAACAAAATACTAGCAAACCAGATACAGCAATAATTAAAAAGATCATACATCATGACCAAGTGGAATTTATTCCAGAAATGCAAGGCTGGTATAGCATCTGCAAATCAATAAATGTGATACATCACATAAACAAAATGAAGGACAAAAATCATATGATCATATCTATAGACGCAGAAAAAGCATTTGACAAAATCCAGCACCCATTTTTGACAAAAACTCAGCAAAGTGGGATTAGAGGGATCATACGTCAACATAATAAAGGCTATATATGACAGACCTACAGCCAACATCATACTCAATGGTAAAAACTAAAATCATTTTCCCTAAGAACGGGAACAAGACAGGGGTGTCTACTTTCGCCACTCTAATTGATCATAGTACTAGAAGTCCTTGGCACATCCATCAGACAGGAAGAAAACATGAAAGGTATTCAAATTGGAAAGGAGGAAGTAAAACTGTCATTATTTGCAGATGGCATGATATTGTACATAGAAAACCCTAAAGACTCCATCAAAGTACTACTAGATTGGATAAGGGAATTTGGCAAGGTAGCTGGATACAAAATTAACATGCAGAAATTGATGGCATTTTTATACACCAACAATGACCTCTCAGAGGGAGAAACTAAAAAAACAGTACCATTTACCACTGCAACTAAAAAATAAGATACCTAGGAATAGACTTAACCAAGGATGTAAAAGACTTCTACTTGGAAAACTACAGGTCACTGAAAAAAGAAATAGAGGAAGATATAAACAAGTGGAAGAATATACCATGCTCATGGATTGGAAGAATTAATATCATTAAAATGTCCATACTACGCAAAGAAATTTATAGATTCAATGCAATTTCTATTAAAATACCAACAGCATATTTCACAGATCTAGAACAAACATGTCGACAATTTATATGGAACCAAAAAAGACCCTGAATAGCCGTAGCCATCTTGAGAATGAAGAACAGAGCGGAAGGGATCAGTTTACTGGATATCAAACTATGCTAAAAGCCATTGTAATAAAAACAGCCTGGTACTGGTATAAGAACAGACTTATAGACCAATGGAATGGAACAGATACCCTAGAAATGACCCAAGCCGTTATGGTAAGTTAATTTTTGACAAAAGAAGCAAGAGCATACAATGGATTGACATTATTTTCAATAAATGGTGTTGGGAAGAGTAGACAGGTACTTGGAAAAAAATTAAACTAGTCCACCAAATTCCACCATACACACACACAAAAACCCCACTTCAAAATGGATAAAAGACTTAAATGTAAGTAACAAAACCATAAAAATTCTGGAAGGAAACGTATGCAGTAAAGTCACAGACATCTCACATAGTGGAATTTTCACTGATACACTTCCTAGGGTAAGAGAAACAGAACAAAAAATAAACATATAGGACTACATCAAACAGCTGCTGCACAGCAAAAGAAAACAGCCTCAAAATACAAAGAAATCCCATGGTTTGGGAGAATATATTTGCCAAGGATGTAGCTGATAATGAGCTAATTTCCAAAGTGTATACAAAGAACTCATACAACTCAACAAGGGGAAGGCAAACAATCCAATTAAAAAATGGGTAAAGGGCCTGAATAGACACTTCTCCAAATAGGACATGCAAATGGCCAAGAGACATATGAAAAAATGCTCAGAGTCACTAATCATCAGAGAGATGCAAATTAAAACCATAACGGGGTATTACTTCACACCTGTCAGAATGGCTACCATCAACAAATCAGCAATGAGACATGCTGGTGAGGATGTGGAGAAAGGGGAACCCTAGTACACTGCTGGTGGGAATGCAGACTGGTGCAGCCACTATGGAAAACAGCATGGAGGTTCCTCAAAAAGTTGAAAATGGGACTGCCTTTTGACCCAGTGATCCCACTTTTAGGAATATATCCTAAGAATCTTGAAACACTAATCAGAAAGAATATATGCACCCCCATGTTCATAGCAGTGCAATTTACAGTAGCTAAGATCTGGAAACTGTCCTAGTGCCCATCAGTAGATGTGTGGATTAAAAAGCTGTGGGACATTTATACCGTGGAATATTATGCAGCTGTAAAGAAGAAGGATCTAGTACCCTTTGGCACAGCATAGATGGACCTTTAAAATATTATGCTAAGCAAAACAAGCCTTTCAGAGAAAGACAAACATCACGTGATCTCACTTATATGTGGAATTTACAGAACTTAATAAACTAATGGACAGAAATGGTTCAATGACATGGAAGCATGGATCAGACTAATGAATCTCAGAGGGATGGAGGGGTGTGGGTGAGTGGAGGAGGAGAGATTAACCAAAGAATTTATAGGCGCATGTGCATAACCCAAGGACACAGTCAATGGTGTGGTGAGGGACTGAGGAGGGGGGTGGGTTAGTGCGAAATGGGTCAATGGGGAGAGAAAGGGACAGCTGTAATATTTTGAACAATAAAAAACAAAACAAAACATAAAACAACGAGTAATACAATTTCTTGTGACATCTCTCTTTTCCCCATGGACTAATAAAACTGTTATTGCTGTTTCACTTTTCAGAGTTCATGCTTTATCTCTTTCTCCCAATTCTTTTGCAAGCTCCCTAATGAATTCTTCGTGCCTTTGAGAGTACTTTACAGTATTTCATGTCCTTAAAGTAGATTCTAGGAAAACATATGACTTCTGTTAAATCCCTTAGCTAGGTCTTGTCTTCAGTATTTTTTTCTTTTCTCCTTATAGACCCAGTTGGTTTACACAACATTGGACAGACATGTTGCCTTAACTCCCTGATCCAGGTATTGATCAGGAACATGGGCTTCACCCAGATACTGAAACGGTAAGACTATTATTCAGGCTATAAACATGTGTATCACTTTATGTTTTCAAATATTCAGTTATTCACAGTTACTTCGACTTTTTAAAAATAATTTTTTACTTTTCAATTATGGTTGACATTTAATATTATATTGGTTTCCGATGTACAATGTAGTGACTAGACATTTATATAACTTACTGAGTGATCAGCCTGATAAGTCTAGTACCCACTTGAAACCATTACATAGCTATTAGAATATTATTGACTATATTCCCTATGCTGCCCTTTACATCCCCATGACTATTCTGTAACTGCCAATGTGTACTTTTTAATTACTTTACTTTTCTCATCCATCCTCTTAACTCCACTCCCATTTGGCAACCATCAAAATGTTCTCTGTATTTATGATTGTGTCTGTGCTTTTTGTTTATTTTGTGTTTTAGATTCCACATATAAGTGAAATCAGAAGGTATTTGCCTTTCTCCATCTGACTTATTTCAGTTAGTATAATACCCTCTAGGTCCATCCATGTTGTCACAAATGGTAAGATTTAACTCCTTTTTTATGGCCAAGTAATATTCCATTGTCTATACATACTACTTCTTCTTTATACCTTTATCTATTTTTTTCCTTTTTAAAAAAAATTAAGTATATTGGGGTGACATTGGTTAATATGATCATATAGGTTTCAGGTGTGAGTTTCTGTTACAAGATCTTTATATTGCACTATGTGCCCACCACCCAAAGGTAAATCATCTTCCATCACTGTATATTAGGTCCCCTTCACCTCCCACTGCCTTCCCTCTGACAACCACCACACTATTGTTTGTGTCGACGAGTTTCAGTTTTATATCCCACATGTGAGTGAAATCATACGGTTCTTAGTTTTTTCTCTCTGACTTAATTCACTTAGGATAATATTCTCAAAGTTCATCCATATTGCCACAAATGACAATATTTCATCCTTTCTTATGGCTGAGTACTACTCCATTGTGTACATGTACCACGTCTTCTTTCCAGTCCTCTACCACAGGACACTTTGATTGTTCCCATGTCTTGGCCACCATGAATAATGCTGCAATGAACATAGATGTACATATACCTTTGTGAATACGTGTTTTGGAGTTTTTTGGGTATATACCCAGGAGAGGGATTGCTGGGTAATATAGTAGTTCTATTCTTAATTTTTTGAGGAATCGCCAGACTGACTTACATCGTGGCTGTACCAGTCTACATTCCCACCAGCAGTGAATGAGGGTTCCCTTTTCTCCAAACCTCTCCAGCACTTGTTATTACTTGTCTTTTTAATAATAGCCACTCTAACAGGTATGAGGTGGTATCTCATTGTAGTTTTGACTTGTATTTTCCTAATTGCTAGTGAGGTTGAACATCTTTTCATATATCTGTATGTCTTCTTGGGAGACGTGTCTGTTCAGATTCTCTGCTTATTTTTTGATTGGGTTGTTTGGTGTTGAGTTTTATGAGTTCTTTATATGTTTTAGATAATAAACCTTTGTCAGAGCTGTTGTTTTGCAACTATCATCTCCCATTTGGTTGGATGCTTTTTTGTTTTGTCATTGGTTTCTTTTGCTATGCAGAAATTTTTTAGTTTGATATAGTCCCATTCATTTATTTTTGCCTTTACTCCCCTTGCTTTTGGGATCAAGTTCATAAAATATTCTCTACAACCAACGTCCATAAGTTTGGTACCTGTTTCAATTTATAAGGTTTCTTCCATATCTTGGCTATTGTAAATAACATTGCAATGAACATAAGGGTGCATATATCTTTCCAAATTAGTGTTTTGGGTTTCTTTGGCTATATACCCAGAAGTGGAATTGCTGGGTTCTTCTTCGTCTCTTGTTATAGACTTTATTTTTAAAATTCATTTTTTTGGTAAAGTAATTGCTACCCCAGATTTTTTTTGTTTTGTTACCATTTACATGAAAAAATATTTCCCCATCCCTTTATTTTAGTCTATGTGTGTCTTTCAATCTGAAGTGAATCTCTTGTAGGTAGCATATGTAAGGGTCTTGTTTTCTTGTGCATTCAGCCATCCTATTTTTTTGATTGGAACATTTAATCATTTACATTTAAAGTAATTGTTGATATATAGGTAGTTATTGCCCTTTTATTATCATATTTTTGATATTTTTTTCTTCTTTTTGAAGAAGTCCCTTTAACATTTCTTGTAATACTGGTTGGGTGGTGATGAAATCCCTTAGTTTTTTCTTGTCTGGGAAGCTCTTTATTTCTCCTTTGATTTTAAATTATAGTTGTGCTGGGTAGAGTAATCTTGGTTGTAGGTCCTTATCTTTCATAACTTTGGATATTTTGCACCAATACCTTCTGGCCCACATAATTTCTGTTGAAAAATCAGGTTATAGTCTTCTGGGAGCTCCTCGTAGGTAACTAACTGCTCTCCTCTTTCTGCTTTTAAGATTCTTTCTTTGTCTTTAATCTTTGGCATTTCAATTACAGTGTATCTTTATGTGGACCTCTTTGGGTTCATCTTGTTTAGGATCCTCAGCACTTCCTGGACTTGTATGCTTATTTTCTTTGCCAAGTTAGGGAAGTTTTCTGTTATTTCCTCAAATAACTTTTCAATCCCTTTCTCTCTCACTTCTTCTATCACTATGATGTGAATGTTGGTACACTTGATGTTGTACAGAGGCACCTTAAATTTTCCTCATTTTTTCTTCTTTTTCCTTTTCCTTTTCTTATGGTTTTCAAAATTGTCTTCAAAATCATTGATTTGAACTTCTGCTTCATCTAATCTACTGTTGTTTCCTTCTAATGTATTCTTCATTTCAGATATTGTTTTCTTAAATTCTGACTGCTTCTAAAAAATGTTTTCTATCTCCATTTTTATGTTTCCTAACTCTTATCGAAGTTTTCACTGAGATCATTGAGCATCCTTATAACCAGTGTTTTGAACTCTGCAATTGAAAGAGTGCTTGTCTCCATTTTGTTTAGTTTTTTTTTTTTTTTGGAGTTTTGTCCTTTTTTTTCATTTGGGACATGTTTCTTTGACTCCTCATTTTGGCTGCCTCTCTGTGTATGTTCCCTATGTATTAGGTAGATCTGCTATGTCTCCTGAACTTGGCAGACTGGAATTATGTAGTAGGTGTTTTGTGTGGCCCAGTAGCACAGTCTCCCTTATCACCTGAGGCGGTGCTCCAGGTGTGTCATTGGTGTGAGTTGTGTGTTCCTTCCTGTAATAGTTGAGCCTTGATTGCTGTTGGCACTTTAGTGGGAGGGATTGACTCTCATGCTGATTGGTTGTGAGGACTGGCCATAACTACAGTGGAGGAGTTATTATGCAGAGTCTAACACTATGAAGCAGAATTCACTTTAGCTGGGCTCTGGTGCCTGCTGGGTTTACCTTTTTGGGTGTCTCATTTGTGGAGGTGGTTGGGTGATGGTCTGAATCTCGTCCTTCAGGTGTGTTGGTTCTGGGGCCTCTTGGGAGGTTAGACCAAGGTCAACCGCTGCCTGTGCCCTGCCTGGGGCCACCTATTATAAGCTAAAATGTGATCTGCAGGTGATAGCCTCTTGTGCTGAACTTGGAGGCTCCTGGGAGAGGCTAAGTTGCAAACTGATGCTCGCTTCTGCCAGTGCTGGATTTGGGGCTACTTAGCAAGAGGATGGGGCATGCCAAGGCCAGATGCTACTTGCTTGGGGTTTGTGAACCTTTGAAAGACTGTAGGGAAATCCTCAGCACGAGAATAGATAGACTGTTTGTATGGAAAAGCCACTGGACTTGGTTGGTCGTGCAAATTTGGTAGGGCAGGGTCTCAGGGAATCGCCAGGGCGGGGTGAACAGTGTTATCCAGGCTGATGGATACTCAGATCTTGTGCCTGCCTGCACCTGCAGGGGGAAGGCTCAGCAAAGAAACAATGGCTTCTGCCAGCCCTTCTGTCTGGGAGAAAGCTCGCCCTCCAGCCCTCACCCCAAAGCCAGATAATTCTGTTCCTCCCTCTATGTCCCTGGTGCCTTTTGAGCTGCTGCCCCAGCACTGGAGCTCAGAGTGAGTGAGTCCATCAGTGGATAAATTTGTGAACTCCTGGGACTCCAACTGCCCTCTGTCTCAGTCAGCCACAACCTCTACTGGTTTTTACATCTGGAGGTTATGAGGACTTTTCTTCTTGGCACTGGAACCCTGGGCTTGGTGGCCCTGTGTGGAACTGGGGCCCTTTGCTCCTCTGGGGGGACATGTGCAACTGAGATATCCCTCCTGATTTTTAACCACCACATGTGGATGTGGGACCAGCCTGCTCTGTGTCTCTACTCCTCCTACCAGTCTTGATGTGCCTTTTCCTGTATATCATTAGTTGTAGGAATTCTGTTCAGCTAGACTGGTGGTTCTCAGTGATGGTGGTTCTGTAGTTTAGTTGTAATTTTGATGTGTTCACAGGAGATAAGCATAGCATTTACCTACCCTGCCATCTTGACTGGAAGCCCACAGTGCCTTGGACTTCTAGAAGTCTTCTTTCAAAAGTTACCAAAGAAAAGTCTTGTTCTGCACATTCTGGACTGTGCATTCTAATCACCTAAGAAGTTTAAAATATAAATGCCTGGTACTACCCCTAGATATTTGATTTCATTTGGCCTTAAACCCTCTATTTCCTAAAATATTGTTCCTCATGGGGTTTTCAAGTGTAACATTGTGAGGGCTTCATGTCAATATTCAATGTGATGTGCTATGAAGGAATTCTGGGGAAATCTGAAACAGGATATTTAAGATTGTGGCTACTTTAAAAATGCAATAAACTTCTCAGTATTTTGGGGAAAAAAATAGTACCAGCCACTGGTACTATTCAAAAAATGCCCCAGTGATATAACAAGGCATTCAGGATTGATAGCCACTGATTTGATTAAATATAATTTGGGGTTAGACCAGTGTCAAAGGAGGAATAAATCAATAAGTACATGCAAAGTCTCTCTTGATTTTTTCAAACAAAACACAAATATGATAATATACATATTATGGTACACACACATATGTATTATTCTACATTCTATTCTGCCCTATGCTTTCTGTTTTTCCCTCTTCCATTGGCATAGACAATTTTGAGATACCTATAATTAAAGAAATCATTTCTAAAGTACACTGATATACCTTCATGTTGCCCTTTCTTCCCAGGACCTAGATGAGTGTTTGGAGTGCTTCAGGGTGGACATTAGGCTGCATGCCCACTTTACTCTGGACCCAGGAGGACCTACTGTGTCTGACTTTTATTTTAGTGTGAATGTTAGGCAGAGTGGGGAGAGAAGTGAGGCAGCAGTTGTGCTGATACCCTCTCAAGAGGTTACTCACTATAGCTGATTTACTAGTATGGTATTTTTTAACCTTGTCTGTACACTTAAATCATCTGAGAAACTGAAAAATTTTAATAACTGGACCCCACCTCCAGAAATTCTGATTTAGTTAGTCTACAGAATGGCCTGGACATGGAGACTTTTGGAAGTTTCTTCAAGTGTTTCTAATATGCACCTAACATTGAGAATTGTGGGAACAGGAGGTTCATGGATGTTCTTATTTGACAGGATAACAGTACCAAGGGAAGTGGAAGAGCAGAGGAGAAATGTCCCCTTCCAGCTGCTCTTACTGCTGGAGAAGATGCAGGACAGTCGACAGAAGGCAGTGCGGCCCATGGAACTCGTCTATTGTCTCCAGAAGTACAATGTACCATGTAAGACAGTGCTCCCAGCACTTATTCCTAGTCTAGTGCTCTAAAGGATGTGGGATATTGAGGGAGAGATAGGAAGGAGTAGGAGAGGGAAGAGAGGAAGAGGGAGGAGAAAGGGAGGAGAGAGAGGGAGGGAAAAGGAGAGGGGAGAGGGTGAGTGAGAGTGGGAGGGAGATAAGGAGGGGAGGGGAGGAAAGGGAGAGGGATGGAGCAGAGGAGGATAAGGTGAAGGAGAGCGAAAGGGAGGGAGAGGGATGGAGAGGGAGGGAGAGTAGAGGGAGAAGGGAGGGGGGAGGAGAGGGTAATGAAGAGGAAGAAGGCATGTGAGAGGGAGAGGGACAGGGAGAGAGAAGGAAAGGAGAGGAGGAGGAAGAGGGTAAGGGTGAGCAGGAGATAGTGAGTGGGGGAAGAGAGGAATTAGGAAGGAGGTTATATAGACCGTGGACCCCTTGTATTGAAGGCATTTATGTAGACCTGAAATATTTTGAAGAACCTACATTTTTACAGGCACAGATTTGGTGTTATTTATGCATATATTACTTTTACACTCACCCCTTTTCTGCCTCTTAGTAAAATAAATAAGCCTAAGAATTTCCTGATTCAGCTGCAGGTAAGGAATCCCAGGAAAACAGAATAAAGGATTAATAAAGAGAAACCATGTTCTACCAAAGGAAACTCATAAATTGGTTATTAAAAAAAACAAAACAGCTTTATTGAGATGTACATCATACTGTACAATTCACCCTTTTAAAAATATACAATTTAGAGGGTTTTAGCACATTCACAGTGTTGTGCAATCATAATCATAATCTACTTTTAGAACATTTTATCACCCCAAAGAGACCCCATTCCTACTAGCAGTCACTCATAATTCTATTTTATTTTCTTCTAGGTTTTATACTTTTAGCTCTTACATTTAGATTTGTGTTTCATTTTGAGTTAATTTTTGTGAATGTTGTGAGATAGGGATCCCAATTTTATTCTTTTGCATGTGAGCATTTAATTATTCCAGCACTATTTGTTGAAAAGAGCATTCTTTCCTCATTGAATTATTGTCACACTTTTTTTTTAAAAATATGTTNGAGCATTTAATTATTCCAGCACTATTTGTTGAAAAGAGCATTCTTTCCTCATTGAATTATTGTCACACTTTTTTTTTTAAAATATGTTTATATTGATTTCAAAGAGAGGAAAGGAGAGGGAGAGAGAGATAGAAACATCAATGATGAGAGAGTCATTGATCAGCTGCCTCCTGCATGCCCCCTAGTTGGAACTGAGCCTGCAATCCAGGCATGTGTTCTGACCGGGAATTGAACCTCGATCTCCTGGATCATAGGTTGATGCTCAACTGCTGAGCCACGCCAGCCAGGCTATTGTCATACTCTTGTCAAAAATCAATTGATCATCAGAGTAGGTGTTTATTTCTGGACTCTAATTCTTTTAAAAAAATTTAATTTTTTCCATCACCATTTATCCCATCTATGCCCTCTTCCACCTCCACCCAGCCCCCTCCACCCCTGTAATCACCACACTGTTGTCCATATCTATGTGTTTTCTCTTTCTCCCTTTAAAAAAAAAAATAAAAAAATGTCTTTATTGATTTCAGAGAGAGGAAGAGAAAGGGAGAGAGAGAGATAGAAACATTGATGATGAGAGGGTCATTGATTTTTGTCTCCTGCATGCCCCCCTTTGGAGATCGAGCCAGCAACCCGGGCATGTGCCCTGACCGGGAATCAAACCTCAGTCTCCTGGATCATAGATCAATGCTCAGCTGCTGAGCCATGCTGGCTGGGCTTCTCTCTCTTTTTTGCTTAATTCCTCTCCCCCTTCCCACCCACCAGAGCTGTCTTTCTGCTCTCTATCTATGAGTCCGTCTTTATTTTGTTCTACTCCACTCTGCCCTCCCTCTGCCAGAGCCCAAGGTGAGTGGCTGCAAACAAAATTTTGTGCCTTGACCCTTTAAGAGGGTGCCTGCATTTTCAGCTGTCTCTCCCTGGCGGACAGAAACCCTGCTGCTTTTCACAGTAGATGTTATATGGACACCATTCCCAGTTCTAGTGCTCTGGTGATCTAGTTTTTCTTTCTTCTCTTCCCTTCTCTTCCCTTCCCTTCTCTTCTCTTCTCTTCTCTTCTCTTCTCTTCTCTTCTCTTCTCTTCTCTTCTCTTCTCTTCTCTTCTCTTCTCTTCTCTTCTCTTCTCTTCTCTTCTCTTCTCTTCTCTTCTCTTCTCTTCTCTTCTCTTCTCTTCTCTTCTCTTCTCTTCTCTTCTCTTCTCTTCTCTTCTCTTCTCTTCTCTTCTCTTCTCTTCTCTTCTCTTCTCTTCTCTTCTCTTCTCTTCTCTTCTCTTCTCTTCTCTTCTCTTCTCTTCTCTTCTCTTCTCTTCTCTTCTCTTCTCTTCTCTTCTCTTCTCTTCTCTTCTCTTCTCTTCTCTTCTCTTCTCTTCTCTTCTCTTCTCTTCTCTTCTCTTCTCTTCTCTTCTCTTCTCTTCTCTTCTCTTCTCTTCTCTTCTCTTCTCTTCTCTTCTCTTCTCTTCTCTTCTCTTCTCTTCTCTTCTCTTCTCTTCTCTTCTCTTCTCTTCTCTTCTCTTCTCTTCTCTTCTCTTCTCTTCTCTTCTCTTCTCTTCTCTTCTCTTCTCTTCTCTTCTCTTCTCTTCTCTTCTCTTCTCTTCTCTTCTCTTCTCTTCTCTTCTCTTCTCTTCTCTTCTCTTCTCTTCTCTTCTCTTCTCTTCTCTTCTCTTCTCTTCTCTTCTCTTCTCTTCTCTTCTCTTCTCTTCTCTTCTCTTCTCTTCTCTTCTCTTCTCTTCTCTTCTCTTCTCTTCTCTTCTCTTCTCTTCTCTTCTCTTCTCTTCTCNTCCCTCTCCCTCTCCCTCTCCCTCTCCCTCTCCCCTCCCCTCCCCTTCCTTTTTTTTCTTACTTTTTCTTTTTTTTTCGCATGTACATCTCCAGTTTTTCTGGTTTGGGGTTTAGACCCCAGACTTCTCGGGGAAACCTTCGCAGCTGAGATATTCCTCCGGAACTTCAGCTTCTGCCTGTGGGAACCCAGTGAGCTCTCTTATACCTCTGTGCTTCCTACCAGTTTCAATGTGGCCTCCTCTTTAAGTGTTTGGTAATAAGGCTTCTCTACAGCTAGTCTTCAGTTGATTATTCAGGATGATTTTTCTGTATTTTAGTTGTAATCAGTTTGGTCTTGGAAGGTCAGTGTAGCTTCCACCTAATCTGCAGCCATGTTGGACTGTAATTCTATTTCATTGATCTTGATGTCTATTCTTATGCCAGTACCACACTGTTTTGATTACTCTAGCTTTGTTAGTATATTTTGATGTTGGAAAGTGTGAGTCCTTCAATTTTATTCTTTTTCAATATCGTTTTGGCTATTTGCAATTCCATATAAACTTTAAGATCACTTAGTTAATCTCTGTGAAAAAGCCAGGTAGGATTTTTATAGGTATTGCACTGAGTCTGTGGAGTTTGTTATTTTAATATTTATTCTTCAGAACCATAAATATGGAATGCATTTCCATTTATGTGGGTTTCCTTTAATTAAAAAAAAAAATGGTTTGTTGTATCAGTGTACAAGTGTTACACTTCTTTTGCTAAATTTATTCCTAAGCATTTAAAAAAGTTTTGTTTTTTAAATTTATCTTTATTATTGAAAGTATTACAGATGTTCCCCTTTTTCTCCCCATTGATTCTCTCCACTCTGCACCCCACCACTCCAGGCTTTCACCACAATATTGCCTGTGTCCATGGGTTATGCATATATGCATATAAATTCTTTGGTTAATCTCTCCACACCCACCCACTGACCCCTACCTTCCCTTTGAGATTCGTCTGACTGTTCCATGCTTCCATGCTTCTGAATTTAATTTGTTCATCAGATTATTATGTTCTTTAGATTCCACGTAAAAGTGAGATCATGTGATGTTTACCTTTCTATGAATGGCTTATTTCGCTTAGCATACTATGCTCCAGGCCCACCCATACTGTCCCAAAGTGTACAAGATGCTTCTTTACAGCTGCATAGCATTCCATGGTGTAAATGTCCCACAGTTTCTTATCCACTCATATACTGATGGGCACTTGGGCTGTTTCCACATTTTAGCTATTGTAAATTGAGCTTCTGTGAACATAGGGGTGCATATATTCTTTCTGATTAGTGTTTCACGGTTCTTAGGATATATTCATAGAAGTGGGATCACTGGGTCAAAAGGCAGTCCCATCTTCAACTTTTTGAGGAACCTCCACACTGTTTTCCATAGTGGCTGCACCAGTCTGCATTCCCACCAGCAGGGTACTAGGGTTCCCCTTTCTCCCCATTTTCACCAGCACATGCCATTTGTTGATTTGTTGATAGTAGCCATCCTGACAGGTGTGAAGTGATACCTTATTGTGGTTTTAATTTGCATCTCTCTGATGATTAGTGACTCTGAGCATTTTTTCATATGTCTCTTGTCCATCTGTATGTCCTCTTTGGAGAAGTGTCTATTCAGGCCCTTTGCCCATTCTTAAATGAAATTGTTTGTCTTCCTGGTGTTGAGTCGTATGAGTTCTTTGTACACTTTGGAAATTAGCCCCTTATCAGATGCATCCTTGGCAAATGTGATCTCCCATGCCGTGGGTTCCTTTGCATTTTGAGGCTGATTTATTTTGCTGTGCAGAAGCTTTTTTTTGATGTAGTCCTATTTACGTATATATATTTTATTTCCCTGCCCTAGGAAATGTATCTGTGAAAATTCCACTACGTGAGATATCTGTGACTTTACTACTTATGTTTTCTTCCAGGATTTTTATGGTTTCGTGACTTATATTTAAATCTTTTATTCACTATGAATTTGTTCTTGTGTATGAAGTAAGCTGGTGATCTGGTATGATTTTTTTTTTTCCATGTAGCTGTCCAATTTTCCCAACACCATTTATTGAAGGGAGTGCCTTTACGCCATTGTATGCTCTTACCTCTTGTGTCAAATATTAACTGACCATAATGGCTTGGGCCTATTTCCGGGGT